CCCCCCCCCCACCAAAAAACCCCTCCAACTGGGCCGGCAATTCCGACTTGCCCACTACTCTTCCAAGTTGATGTGACACAAACGAGATAACTTTTCCTTTCGATGGCACCTTTTTCTTTCAGGACGGCAGGACGCTATTCAACGTCTATCTTCACTTTGTTCGCAAGGTAACGGAATATCGACATGAGTCTAGGCTAGGGTGCTCTCGTTACAAAGACCAGGATTGAACGATAAAGACAAAAATAAGAAGAGAAAAACCTCCCCGACGGATTAGAAAAGCGATTGGGGGGGTATTTTCGGCTCCGTTGATAACTAAATTGTCATCAGTTTCAAGAGTGAGGAGAGAGCTCCAAACAAAAAGAGAGGGACAGGCGACAAATAGACAGAAAGATAGACAGACGAGCGGACGGACGAACCGACGGACGGATCGACAGACGGACGAACGGACGGACGGATCGACAGACGGACAGACGAACAGACACCAAGATATACGTCATTTCGAAGAAATCACCACAATATGGGCACTTATTGAGGTGAAAAGAAAAGACAGCCAGACAGGAACAACAGAAAGAAAGAACAAAAATAGAACCTACCGGTGGCGCTCTCTAACCGATTAAGAAAAAAGACGTCCACCAAAACGTGGGGGGGGGGCGGCGAAAGGGATGACAGACAGACAGACAGACAGACAGACAGACAGACAGACAGACAGACAGACAGACAGATGGATATAGTTTTAGTAAGTCTTTTACGGCATTTGCAACACAATAAGGTCATATAAGTGCCGAAGATTAGAGGTGTTAGAAGAGAGTAACAAACATAAAAATGAGGAGAAATCGGGACGATAGATGTTTGATAGGAAAGAAGAAGCAAACCACACCAGAACACCCTCCAACCACAGACAGACAGACAGACAGACAGACAGACAGACAGACAGACAGACAGACAGACAGACAGACAGACAGACAGACAGAAGGAATACGGGAAAGGAAAGAGAGGAGGATAAATTCCTGGGATCAAAACTAATAAAGATTACTGTATTCTTCTTTCCACCTCACAGGGATCCTTCAAAAGTGTTGTGAAGTTCAGCGGTACCCAGTTCCGCTACCCCATGAGGCCTGAGGTCAGCATCTTAAACGGCCTTGAACTCAGTGTTGAGCCCGGTGAGACCTTGGCCTTGGTAGGAGAGAGTGGCTGCGGGAAAAGTACGACAATCCAGCTGTTGGAGAGATTCTATGACCCTGAAGCGGGGGGCGTGGTAAATGTCTTTGATTTTATTAGCTCTTTTGGGGGTGGGTGGGGGGTTTTTTTGGTTCTTGTTCGTATTTTTCTTACTTTTCCAGTAGATGGACGTTGGTTTTTTGTTTTTTTGTTTTTTTGTTTTTTTGTTGGTTTGTTGTTGTTGTTTGTTTGGGGTGGGGGTGGGGGGGGTGTTATGTTTTTGTTTTGTTTTTGTTGTTTCTGTTTGTTTGGTTGGGGTTTCTTGGGGCGAGGGGGTTATTGCTTTTTCAGCCTTACTTTTGAAAAACATTATCTCTTGTCATTCTGCCTGCAGGATATGGCTCCAATATGAGCGATGTCTGTTAACTAGTTTGATTATCCTTAGCTTGGATGGGGGAAACAACTAGTGAAAGGGTGGAGTGTTTAAAACAATAAGGAGGTGATCAAGCAGTCTTTTGTTTTCTTTGATTTTTAAACAAAATGTTTTACTGCTGGCGTGTTCTTGCCCCCTCTCCTCGTCGTTGTTGTCCTTCCCCTTCCTCCTCCTCCTCCTCCTCTTCCTCCTCCTCCTCCTCATCCTCCTCCTCCTCATCCTTCTAGTCCTTCTTGTTCTTTGCCTATTCCTTGCTAGATCTCATTGTTAGTCCAACTCCTGGTCGTTGGACATTGATCATTGTGGCCCTCTCTTTCTGGGGTGCCTTGATAGTCGAAGCAGACTTTGTACTGTTGAAGCTAGAGAGGTGAGCGGAGTTAGTCTGATTCCCTGTAAGGATTTCTCTGTCGACATCCACCCCTTGGCGCTCATAGTTATACCTTATGCAGTTGCAAGCGCCGTAAAACCTCTACTAGAACCCAAAAAAAAACACCTCTACTAAAACAAAAAATAAAACCTCTACTAAAAACAAAAACAAAACCTCTACTAAAACAACTAAAAATCACAACTTCCATCCCCCCCCCCCCCCCCCCCCCCCCCCACAGTTCCTGGACAAGTATAACATCAAGGACCTGAATGTCCAGTGGCTGCGGAAACAGATCGGTCTGGTGTCCCAGGAGCCCACACTGTTTGACGCCACGATAGCCGAGAACATCGCCTACGGTGACAACTTCCGGAAAGTCACAATGGACGAGATCATCAAAGCTGCACGGTCGGCCAACATTCACAACTTCATACAGTCTCTGCCCAAGGTGGGTGATGTTGTTGTTGTTGTTGTTGTTGTTGTTGTTGTTGTTGTTGTTGTTGTTGTTGTTGTTGTTGTTGTTGTTGTTGTTGTTGTGTGTAGTAGCCTATCCGTAAGAACTGTTTGGAGCCCCGAAGAGTGTGCTCTTCGCCAGGGCCACCGCCTCTCTTGGGTAGCTGGTTGTTGTTCTTTTTTGTTGTTGGGGTTTGTTTTTTAGGGTGGGGTGGGAGAGAGGGGGGAAGAAAGAGAGTGAGGGAGAAAGAGAGA